CCTGACTGCAACAAAGGGACAGTTATGAAACCAGGTATTTGAGTTGCATCTGTCTTGTCTTTTTTTTTTTTTTGAGACAGAGTCTCACTTTGTCACCCTTGATAGAGTGCCGTGTGTCATAACTCAATAGCAACCTAAAGCTCTTGGACTCAAGTAATCCTTTCCCTCAGTTTTTCATTTTTTAGTAGAGATGGGGTCTTGCTCTTGCTCAGGCTGGCTTTGAACTCCTGAGCTCAAGAAATCCACCCCCATCACCATCATAGAGTGCTAGGATTACAGACGTGAGCCACCACGCCCCCAGCCGAGTTGCATCTGTCCTCATTTAACTGGTAGCATGCCAGTGAAATGCCTTCTTAAATAAAATAAGAAGATGATGCTTTGTAATCAATCAATTTATTTTTGATGCTTGTAACCAAAAAAATCAATGTTTGTATGACACTTTGGGGGAAAGGTGCTTCACATTCTTAAAATACCTGTATAACGCTCCTAGAAAAATCACTTACTAATGTTGCTGTTGTAGCTAAGTTACTGAAACAGGGCACATTCACTCTGAAGCAATCCACAAAGTTTTGAAACAAGATCGCTCGTCTTTTGGGTTGTAATTCTGTAGCAGTTTGCCAAGATATTTTTAACAGGGAACTCTAGGATTTGCCAGAGTTAAAAACGTCTGGGTTTATTTGATCATTTTACAAAGATGATAAATAGCCGAAAAGACAGCAGGGAACATATCTAAATAAAGGGATGAGCCAGCAGGAGAGAATGCCTCCGGCTCTGGTGGGGAGCCAGATCCCAGTGTGCGACATACTGACAAGCCTGAAGGCCATCCCACCAGGAGCGTGGCTTCGCTCTGGAAGTGACCTGATACCCCCCAGGTGAAGCAACTTGTACCTACCCCGGGACTGTCTCTTCTGTGGCAGCGCTTGTCAGGCTGTTCACCGTTCAGAGTTGTAGCAGTGAGCACCACACCTTGAGCTCCTTTTCCTTTATTGGCACCTGAACTAAACAAATTCTTGTTGATGGCATGTCTCCAACATGCTTCTCCTTAGGAATTTAAAGTATGTATATTTGAAGCAATATTCAAGCTAGTGTTTTACCCAACGGGCTACTGTAAAATCTGCAAAATCACGATAACTAATATTCATGCATGTGTCAGGCCTGTAATGTTTCACCTGCATTTTCTCATTTATTCTTTATAGCATAATAAAGTTGTTGGTATGGTTGTGTATGTTCTGCAGTTGAAATAAGACAAGAAAAGTTCGGCTAAGAAAAGGTTAACTTGCCCAAGGTCGTCCAGCAAGAAAGTGACTGAGCCCTGATGCACCTCAGGCCATCCGACCCAGCGCTCTTACCTGCTATGTTACACAAGCTACTAGTTAGCACGTATGAACATGAATACTATGGTTAAACCAACACAAACGCGAACGACCCAGAGATAAAGTTAACTGAAAAAGTGCATGGGATAACACGAAAAGAAAATATTCAAAGTTTTATTGAAAGACATAAAAGACTTGAATAAGTGAGAGAGAGCATTTTAAATTAAGCCCAATCTCTTAAAAATTCCAATGCATATTTATTTCATCTGGAGGAATAATGGTGCTCAAGTAGCCAGGACAATTCCAAAAGGAAAATAAAGAGCAGTTGTGAGATGGAAAGGGTGGAGTGGAAAGGTTGGGTGAAGAAGTTTGTCATGCTCGGTACATACCTGGAACCAAAAGAGAAGTAGCATTTCATGGCAAGTGCATTATTCAAGGGACAGTCTCAGGACAACGGATTGACATTTGGGAGGAAAATTTGGAACTCCTCCTCACACTTTATATTGCAATAGACTCCAGATAAGTTTAAATGTTACAAAGAACAAAAAAAAAGCCAGAATAAGTATAAAAACAGGAAAATAGTATATCACTTTGAAGAGGAAAGTATGACACATTAGTCGGAAACTATATTTAAACAAGCTAGATTTAATTAAAGGTTCAAAATTCTGTACTTCAAAAAAACCCAAAATAAATGATTAGAAGATAAATGACAAACTGGGGAAATGTTTTTGCAATGTATATGATGAACAAAACCTGAATATTTTGCACAACTGATAAAAAAAATTGTCCCATTTTAAATGTGAACAAAGACTATCAATAAGCAATTCAGCAAAAGATGAAATTGAAATTTCCAATTAAATGTTTATTCCTTGTAGTAATAAAAAAAAAA